TGTCTGAATTATTAAAATTCAAAATTCCAGAAAACTAGGTTCCTACTAACTTCCATTGGTCTAGCTTAACTAAGATTGGTTGCTTTTAGCCACCTGAATTAGAACTTTGGAACAGCCAAAGTATCAGCCAGAAAATATTTATTAATCACAAGGGGAAAATGTACATTTATAATAGAAATATTTGACAGTTGCCACCTAAATCAAATGCCCAAATTTAGTAACACCTTTTGATGTGATGTAATAGGAAGGACACCATACCACTTCTGTACTATTCCAGTCAAAAATACTTAATCTAGTCATAAAGAAACAATGGGGAGAATTCAAATTGCCTTCAAGATGAAAAAAGGAGGAATGTTCTAGGTCTGTGTTGTCCTGTCAAAAGGAAATGCAAACCACAGATGCAATTTAAAAATTTTGGGGGGCCACATGGAAAAAGGTAAAAAGAAACAGGTAAAATTAATTTCATGAGTTATAAAATAATATATAATATTATATATAGTATAATATTCTATATATAGTAATATAATTAACTAAATTATATATTTAGTTCAATATAGGAAAATATTACCTAAATATTTAAATAATATAACATTTTAATTTGAAATATTATATTGTAGTAAATTTTAGAAAATCAGAGTGTATTTACGCATATGGTACATCTTCATTCAGAATAGCCACATTTTAAGACTCAGTAGTCATAGTCTGTTGGCTACCATATTCACAGTGTATTTCTAGGTTAAGATAGATCTAAGAGATGTATATTATCCTTGTTTAGATCCTGGATTGAAATAAATAAGCATCTATAAAGGGCATCTGGGGGACAGCTAGGGGAATTTGTATAGTGAATTTATTGGATAATATTATTTTATCAATGTTAAATTCTTGGGTGGGGATTATGAATGTGTAAGAAATGTTCTTAGGAGCTATACAATAAAATGTCATACTGTTTACAGCTTACTTGCAAATGGTCCAGCAAAAGATAAATTATGTATATACAGGGGCACCTGGGTGGCTCAGTCGTTTAAGCGTCCAACTTTGGCTTAGGTCATCATCTTGCGGTGCATGGGTTCGAGTCCCGCATACAGTTCTGTGCTGGAACAGTTCTGTGCAGCTCAGAGCCTGGAACCTGTTTCAGATTCTGTGCCTCCCTCTCTCTCTCCGCCCCTCCCCCGCTCATGCTCTGTCTCTCTCTGTTTCAAAAATAAATAAACTATAAAAAAGAATTATATACATACATTTGTATATGTGTGTGCATAGACATATCAGTAAAGTTATAAAAATTGATTTAAATGACTACATTAAGAAGGTTAACTTATTGGGGGTGCCTGGGTGGCTCAGTCAGTTAAGCGTCCACTCTTGGTTTCAGTCCAGGTCATGACCTCAAGGTTTGTGAGTTTGCACCCCATGTCAGGCTCCGTGCTGAGAACATGGTGCCTACTTGGGATTCTCTCTCCCTCTCTCTCTGCCCTTCCCTTGCTTACACACACACACACACACACACACACACACTCTCTTTCTCTCTGTCTCAAATAAATAAACAAAAAAGGTCACTTAGTAGATCAATATAGAACAATGAGAGGATATACATTTTCAGACAAATATGGAACATTGTGAAAATTGACTACACACTGTTTTATGGAGTAGGAGTCAATAAACTTCAAAGAATTTAGAATTGTACATCATGTCTGATTACAGTGAAATTAAATTTAAAAACAGTGACAGTGAGGTGTGCCTAGGTGGCTCAGTTGGTTAAGTGCCTGACTTAGGTTCAAGGTCATGATCTCACTGTTTGGTGTCAGCACAGAGTCTGCTTCAGATCCTCTGTCCCCCCTTCTCTCTGCCCCTCCCCTGCTTGTGTGTGCATGCACACATACTCTCTCTTTCTCAAAATAATAAACATTAAAAAATAAGTAAAAACTCATAATGAATTAAAAAGTTAAAAAATGACAATGATAATTTAAAATCCCATAATTTGAAAATCAAGGATTACTTATGGAAAGTAAGGAGGATGGATTGGAGGGTACTGTAGTTTGAGGAAAGAATTCAAGGGAGGAAGGTATTAATAAGTGTTCAAAGGAGAGAAGACAGAGGTCTGTTTTTGAGGCCCTATGTTTGGGAAAGGATGAAAGGGATTTAATGAATGATTGTAGGAGGAGATTGAGGGAGAATGAGTATAAGTAACTTCCAAGTAGATGGATGGATGGTAGTGTTATTAATTGTGAGAGAGACATTTTAATGGGGATGTCTTGGGACATGTGTATAGACATAGTTGGTTATTCAGATTTGACACCTGAGAGCAATCTAGAAAGATATATAGATTTTGTGAGGCATCTACACTTATTTAGATGATAAATTTAGCCATGGGCATTGGCCAAATCATTCAAGTAAAGGGTTAGAAGGCAGCCAAAGAAAGAGCTGTGGGGCATACACAAGAGTTGGCGGTGGTCAAAGCAAAATGAGTCCATGAAGAGACAGGCAAAATAGTCAGAAGTGAAGAAAACAAATGCTGATTGATTCCAAGTGAATGACTGGTCCATTGCATCTCAACTCTGAGGAAAGCGTGGTACATAGTGTTAAGTCACTTCCAATGCCATATGTTTCATATGTTTGATTTCATTACAAAAACCCTGAATATTTACTGCTTTACCTTTATTTTCTTTTCCCAGTCTCCCTGTTTGTCTCTTATTTACCAATCATTCTAACCAGAAGTGATTTATGATTTACTTTCCAGAATTGAATTCTAGAGTTTGTTATAATTGGTTTAGAGACTAGATTTTACATAAAGGGAATAGTTATGAACTCTGAGATAATATAATTTGCCCAAAGTCACAAAATAAGTCTGATTCCCCATCTAAAGGCTTATTAAACTAATTAGAAGTAATGTTGGATTTTTAAAATATGATTTAATTGCCTTTCTAGAAATCTCTTTTTTTAAAGGGATATAACTATACTTATTGTTTTATTTTGGATGCAGTCCTAACATGATTTAGTTAAATGCTACTGTAGAGGACTTTTAGTTTAGCATTTATAAGGATCATGCCTGAAGTTTTTAACAGATTTTATTAAAAATGGGCATATAGCGGCATCTGGCTGACTCAGAAGAGCATGCAACTCTTGATCTCAGTGTTTTGGGTTCAAGCCCCATGTTGGGTATAAAGATTATTAAAAAAATAAATTAATTAAAAAAACAACAAAATGGGCATATCTTTTGCTTTATTAATTATTATAGTAACACAGTCTTACTTACTTTAGCATCACTGTAACATTCACTCCTTAGATCTTTGGATCACACATTCTTGTGACCTTTCCTCCCTATCCTTTGTCTCCTTTGCTTTTCTGCAGTAATTTTTGCTGTTAGTCGGGCTATCCATTGAGAGTGCCAATCATGTTTATTAATTGTTATGCCTTACATATCCCGTCTCTAGGACTTAGCATAGCAATTTTCACTCAGTAGATATTCCTGAAATAAAATAAATATGCATATTGAGTGTCATATTGATTAACAATGCAGGCTCCAAGGACTGCCTCTCTGGGTTTGAATATTGACTCTATGTACTGTTAGCTATATAACATTGGGGAAGTTAATCTCATTCTCTGATTCATTTAACTCATCTGTAAAATGGGGATAATAATAGAACCTAATTTATGGTGTGCTTGTGAGAGTAAAATATGATAACTCATATGTAGAAATTAGCACACTTAGCATATGGCAAATATTTTTAAATGTTTCTATTTTTAGGATCCAAACTTATAAGTTCCTTCCCTACTTCTTCCTCTTAATGTATTTCTCCATCTACTGTGTGTCTTTACATCAAGTATGTGTTTTGAGGTCTTTCATTACCCTCCAAAGTAAGCAAGACAGAAATGATCCTCTTTCTCTGATTAGGCAGCTGAGGGCTACCCCCTGCAGCTACAGGGGCTGTAGTGATGAATGAACTTACAGTCAGAGTGATAGAGGTTGGAGCCCTGCCTCTGTACTTTTTAACTTCCCAGATCTTGGGTAAGCTGCTCTCCTTCCGTGTAAAAAAGAGTAATCACTGTACTTCACCAAAAACACAAACAAACGAAAATGCCAAAAACTGGTTCTGAGGCTTAAGTGTGAGACAATTTACAAGGAATACTAATCAACATCCCTGGTATATAAATAGTCAATAAATTTTAACATTCTGTTTTCCACTTCTCCAAATTTTTTATATTCTGTGTTATTTTAAATCTAAATTAACATAATATAGTTGACTATGCTCTTCTATTTGTTAGTATTGACACACCAACTACTTTGTAAATATTTCTAAAACAGGGTTTCACTTCCTAAGTTCCCTGTATCTTTAATATATCTCTTATACCTGAGCTGGTAGCTAGAAGGTGCTTAATAAGTATTGACTTAATACTTTGTTATAATGTTTCAAACTATATTAGTTCTCTTATCTACACAAAGTAGAAAGGAATAGGCATTTTAAAATATTTATGTCAATTTCTCTTTAGACTCTAAAACTTGATTTTTTTTAAAGCAGAACTTTGCCTTTTCTGGACTTCAGCCTTGCTCTATCCAGCTGATGAATATTCCTACTTACATTAACTAATGATTGCTAAATTATTTTAAAATAGGAAGCTATCCTTAAAAGCTAAGTCTTATGTTGATAATGATGATAATAATGCTGAAATGTATAAACTGGGCTGTTGGTATTCATCGGTATGTGCTGTGCTGCTGCAGACAATTTGTGGGGAGCTATCTCCTTTCTGATATATGCAGTTCATTTACTCTATACTTTCAGTACTAAATTTTAGTAATTGCATAACATCTAAGGAGCATGGGGAAAAAAGAAACACTCAAATGTGTTTTTAGAGTATCTTTGTGTTGGTAATTTGTTTGAAAAAATATTGTACCCCTTGTTATTAAAAAATCTGTGATTTGCAATTTAATTCAAAAAATGCACTTAGAACTTGAAAACAATGAAGAGTATACAATTAAAGGGTTTTTTATTTTTTTTTTTTGCTTCCAGAACAAGTTAAACTGGGTAAAATCGTGACTAATATTGAATCAGTGAGTAAAAAAATGGAGAGAGAAAAGCATCAGCACCATGAGAAGGCCAGGTAATGAGTAATTAGCTAACGTGTCAAAAATGTATAGTTTTATTCTACTGTGCCAGTACTTCCTGACCAATTGTTGTAGTTTCTCAAGTCTATTAACACCCTGTGCAGGAGGCTAATTTATCCTTCTGCTTGAGTCCCTTAAAGCATATTAATTATCAAAATTTTAGTTTTCAGTTCAATTAACTTTTGAACTGGAGGATGTCTGAGTAGTTAAGCAAACCATCTGGGTTTTACAGTGCATAAGCTCAAATCCAATTTGTGGCTTTCTCAAGAAAAATGCCATATTTTATGATAATATTACATAAGTTTGGAATTTTAATAACTCATCTGTAGCAATTATGGAACAGAGTTAAGTTATAATTTTTCTTTTTGATTTAATAATTTAAAGTTAGTCTTTTTCTAACAGAAGGTGAGATTAATCCTGTAGAACATAGTTTTAGGACAGGCATTTGCTTCTGCTTTTTCCAAAGGTGTGTGGAGATGGGTCAGTTACTTTTCTGAATTATTCCACTAAATAGCATGATCATCTTCAAGGTGACTTTACAATTGTGTACATAACTGTTAGCCCTTAGGCTATAGAACCTCTAAAGGCCCTTCAGCACATTTTGTAGGAGCATTTATATTTGTAGAATATCAATGCTGCTCTGTTAAAATGGATTTTTCAGTGGTTTGTTTTACATTATTTCATTATGTAACATTGTCAGAAATTTGGGGTAGTTGGCACAGTTATAAATAATAAAAATTTGAGAAACTGTTGCCCTGGCTGTAGAGAATGGCATGAACCTTCCAACATTAATCCAGCAATCTGTGCTTAACACAAGGAGATTGATGCTCAGAAGTCAACATTTTCTTGGCATAAGTGTAATGTGATATTCAAATTTGGAAGCGTGGAATATATGTAAAGCTCTAATAGTAAGAGTTTGGTTTTATCCATGATAGGGGAAGATGTTAATTGCAAAGGAAAAGAAATGATTATACTGGGAATTTACCAGTTAAAAAAACAATTTGCTTTTGACCTTAATTTAAACCAAGGCTCAGGTTGGTCTAGCAGAGTGGTAACTGCTAAAAGAGTAGTTAATAGACCAATTTAACCAAATAGTTTAGAATTTCAAGTAAGCTTTTAACAACTAGGAAAGTTAACTGAACTAATTTGAAAATCTACCATTTTCTGTATATTTCGATGGGACTGAAAATTCAAGAAAGAATAATCAAGACTTAGGGAAAAGTGGAGCACTCATTAATAATAAATCTGATCAGGTAGAAAATCTTTCAGTATGTCTTTCTCAAGAGAGTTGAGTCTTTCTCAAAGAATTGTTTCTTCTGCAACTGGTGGAAGATCAAGGTCTCTTGACACCCTAACTAACATCCCATTTTTAATGAAAACATGTCCTACCTAATGAGGAAGATCAACACCCTCTGAAATTAAGAGCAAGTCCATGTACTTCCAGTAACAGCCTGGGGCACATAAAGCCTGAACTTCAATCCACTAGGGTTGCTTTGTCTTTATTTATAGCTAGCTTATGGCAGTAACTTGTTTCCTACCTTGCAGTTAGCTTCATTTCATTAATGTTAGAAGTGTGATGGGAATACAGAAGGAAAGACAAATAAGTGTTCTGGGACATGGTGACTCAGGGTGTTAGAAAACCTGTGCTTAACTAGACAAATAAGATGCCATTAGAGTGAAATTTTTACTGAACTCTAGTTCACCACATAATAAAGATAAGGAAACTTAGCCATGAGGATATAAGCAACAGAAAGGACAAAAGAATCAGTTGGAAATCAGGTAGGGAGTTGTTAACAATGCAGGGACAGGTTCCAGCACTAATTAGCAAGAATTGCCCAACTCTTTGTGAGACTTTTAAATTTCTGTTTAATACAAATAAACCCCTGTGAGGGAAGCTGTATATAAACTACTTACAATTCCCCTGAAGATGCCTTGGAAAATACTAATTTCTAAGGGTGACACATAATATTTTTAAGTAGACCATAAAAATATTGGCTCCACAAAAGAAATTTCCTTGGAAAATACATAAAGAAATACAATCTTATAAATGTGTGATTTCCTTTCCCCAAATTTCTCTATGTTTGATTTGAAGAGCAAAACCAAAATTGAATACCTCTGCATTTTTAAATTTAAGGGAGTGAAGTTCTTCAATATACCTTTGAATTTTAACTTCAAAGATTACCATACATTAACATACTTTTTTTATGACAATAATGATAAATGTGAGTGCATTCTAAATGTTAATTTGCCATCAAGGAAATTAATTTTCGATGCACCTATTTATTAGAGCTATTTTTGTTGTTTTTGTTTATATTTGGTGCATTTGAAGGTATGAATGACAACCGCATTTCTGTAAATGCATTCTGTAATTCAGGCACGTGAGACCAGACCTCTTCCCCTAATTTTGTGACCATTGGGAGTTTCTTATGTGTTACAGGACAATTTGTATTTAGGTTATTCTGATCAATTTCATAATAAGATGAGAAGATTATAAAATAATGATAGAATCCCTCACTGCATTTCACATTTCTGTTGAAATGACCCTGCCATTTTACCTTAATATTTGTAAAATATTTTGCTTAAGTGGATGAACTGTGGTCTGCTTCTGTTAGAATCTTTCATTAATAGAGAATCATTGAACAATGCAATTAATAGTCCTAATTTGGAGATTTAAATATATAACCATGAGCCAGACAGAAGAAAACAAGAAAACTGTGATTGATCAGGTATCTTGGCCCTTTTCTTGGTGACATACAAATAAAGTCTAGAATTTTAAATGTGGTTTTGCAAAGCTGACTATATACCCAAGCCTTTCATATTTTCCCTTGACTATATGATTTTGTCATACTGGTGATACCTCAGTTCTTTGGCCAACGGCATGGATGTGACCACATGAGTGACGGTTAGACTAATTAGTCATTTATTTACTATTGATTGTCAACTGTATAACAAATGTAAAACTCTGCCACAGAGTCTTTCCTCAGAGACCCTAGTTTTTTGATGGACAAAATGTTTTAAAATCTGAAAAATTTCTTTAAAAAAATATTTTTAATGTTTGTTTATTTTTGAGAGTGAGAGAGACAGAGCATGAGTGGGGGAGGGGGGGAGAGAGAGGGAGACATAGAATGTGAAGCAGGCTCCAGGCTCTGAGCTGTCAGCACACAGCTTGATGTGGGGCTTGAACTCACGAACTGCAAGATCATGACCTGAGCCAAAGTTGGATTCTCAACCGACTGAACTGCCCAGGTGTCCCTAAAATTCTAAAAATTTCTATAACATTTATATAACATTTGAACTAGCAATTCCATTTATAGGTATTTATAATAAGAAAAGAATTGGATAGGTTCACAAATATGAATTTTCAAAGAGTTTCATCTTTGTTTATGAATACCAAAAAAGTAGAAGCAACTCAAAAACCCAGTAAAAGGAGATTGGTAAATAAACCATCAGTATGTTAAATCCATGCAATGGAATGCTTTGTAAAGGGTCAAAATGACAGTGTGCATCTTTGTACATTTACAAATAAAGAAATTCATGATATTAAGTAACAGAAAGTGAGCTAAAGGTTTCATGTACATATATGTGCAAATAAACATAGAGAAGGTATGAAATATAGTACACGTGTTAATTATGGCAAATGGAATTAGTATAAAATAGTAATAAGGAGTTTAGTTCTTGAGGTCCCACTACTTGGATTCAAATCCTGGCTCCACCCATTTTTAACTGGGATAATTTGAACTATATACTACTTAACCCTTAAATGTCTTAGTTTCTTCATTTGTGAAAGATGTGGTACACACACACACACACAGGAATATTACTTGGCAATCAAAAAGAATGAATCTTGCTATTTTCAACAACGTGGATGGAACCAGAGTATATCATGCTAAACATAAGAAGTCAGTCAGAAAGATAAATGTCATATAATGTCACTCGTGTGGAATTTAAGAAACAACTGTTGAATATAGAGGAAGGGAAGAAAAAATAAGATAAAAACATAAAGGGAAGCAAACCATAATAAACATTTAAATACAGAGAACAAACTGAGGTTGCTAAAAGGGAGGTGAGTGGGAGGGATAGGCTAAATGAGTGATAGGCACTAAGGAGAACACTGAATGTTATATGCAAGTGATGATTCATTGAGTTCTACTCCTAAAACCAGTACTATACTGTATGTTACTAACCTGAGTTTTAATAAATAAATTAAAAAAATAAAATAAAATAGGTATAATAATAATAAAACCCCAGAGTCTTGTTGTGAGAGTTAAATGTAGTAAGACACAGACAGAGCTTAGAATAGTGGCTGGCCTTGAAGAAGCATTTAAGGTTTTACAAATATGACTAAAATAATAGGGTGGTGAGTTTGGGCTAATTTTTATTTTCTTCTTTTTGCTTATGTACATTTGGTAAAATTTCTACATGGTACCCAGTTTTTGAATCAGCTGATTTGGTTAAATCTCGCCAAGTCATGATAAGAAAGCATGTTACTTAAAATCTCTTGTGAAACAGAGAAGACATAGATATGATGTTTGTTCATTTTTCTGATTTTTGTTTTCATTCAGAAAGCACATGTTCCTCTTTGTTATCCATGCTCTGAGCCAGCAAAATTTGGTATTATTTTTGTCTTCATTCGATAAATATTATATATTTATTATGTAACAATATAATTACCTATAAACATATATTTTCAATAATATTTATAGAGGGTCTACTGCAGGGTGCTGAGGGTCCAACTTCTAACTCTGCAGAGTGCTGAGGGTACAGAGTGCATAGTCTCTATTGATAGAAGATAAGTGGATTTTTCCCCATGATTAGCATCTAATACTATAACATTGTTCTCAAGTGTTTGCATTACAAAGTAAAGATTACAAATCACTCAAATCTCTACCTTTACATTTTAGAAACAGATTATTGGTCTCACCATATGCCAGCCCCGTCATCAACCTTGGCTTGCCCTTACAACCTATGACCTCTTCCATGGGGCTTCTAAAAGAACATGGTGAGTATCGTTCATAAGTGTTAATAGCAACGCAGTGACTTTCATTATTTCACATTCATTTAAAATGTAGTGTCAAACAGCTAGTATTTCCTTTGAATACTGTGTCAAAAGATAAAGAGATTTCAGAAACAACTACTAATAATTCATTTTCAGCTCTTTTATTTGAACTTGAGAGATTAGATTTTTTTAAATTTTTAATTTTTTTATGTTTATTTATTATTGAGACAGAGAGAAACAGAGCATGAGTAGCAGAGGGGCAGAGAAAGAAGGAGACACAGAATCTGAAGCAGGCTCCAGGCTCTGAGCTGTCAGCACAGAGGCTAACATTAGGGCTTGAATAAATGAACCTCAAGATCATGACCTGAGCTGAAGTCAGACGCTTAACAAATTGAGCCACCCAGGTGCTCCTAGATTTTTAAAAAATATTTCTTTATTTTTGAGAGACAGAGAGAGAGAGAGCATGAGTGGGGGAGGAGCAGAGAGAGAAAGAGAGACACAGAATCCAAAACAGGCTCCAGGCTCTGAACTGTCAGCACAGACCCTGATGTGGGGCTTGAACTAGGGGGAATGGGAGATCTTGGCCTAGGTTGAAGTCAGTCGCTTAACCGACTGAGCCACCCAGATGCCCCGGATTGGATGTTTTATTTTTATTTATTTTTTGTTATAATTTGTTTTCTTTTTTTTTTTAATATTTTATTTCTGTGAGTGAGAGAGAGAGAGAGAGAGAGAGATAGCGTGAGCAGGGGAGGGAGAGAGAGAGACAGACAGACACAGAATCCAAAACAGGCTCCAGGCTCTGAGCTGTCAACACAGAGCCAAATATGCAGGGCTCGAACCCATGAACCGTGAGATCATGATCTGAGCTGAAGTCAGACGCTTAACTGACTGAGCCACCCAGGTGCCCCTATAATTTGTTTTCAAATTGGCTTCCATACAATACCCAGTGCTCATCCCAGCAAGTGCCCTTCTCAATGCCCATCACCCACTTTCCCCTCTCCCCTACCCCTCATCAACCCTCAGTTTGTTCTCTGTATTTAAGAGTCTCTTATTGTTTGCCTCTGTCCCTCTAGCAGATTGGATGTTTTTAATGTGTGTGAATATTGAGGGTTTTAGAAAATTATAAGCATAAATTACTTATAATTCTATAAGTTCTTCTGTTCTTGAGTTATTATTATTTTGAAAAAATACATAATTATTCCAAAGAAAATATAGATGATTCTAACTCTCTGGAACTTGGTGAGTTGCTTAAAGACAGACCTAAGGGGCTATTGATCCAAAGAAACTATTTTGTAGTTTTCCTCTTTTTAAAATTGTTGCTCATGTTCTTAAGCTTCAGGCTGTCATTAAGAGAAAACTCTTATTGTAGAGTGGGACTTTGATTGATATTGAAAATTTGCAGAAGCTTCTTCTTGCATTCTTAAGACATTCTTTCATAAAATTTGCCTTATCCAGCTGCAATTTTCTCTGTTTTGATTATTATAAGGAATTCAAGCATTAAATGGAGGCTCAAGTACCACAATTTCATTAATCCAACCAATATTCACCAACACTTTAAATACTTGTGAATATAATGTTGGAATCTTGAACAAATGCTGTTTAAACTTGAATACATGTCTGTTTAAAATTTTTGAATGTTGAATTGAACCATAGCTTAAATTCTTTTAAGGCTTGATCAGGTAGTTTGAGGTCCCAGGTAGTGTAAAGAATGTGGATCTCAGCAGAGTCTAGAATTGAATATGTGTATGAAGAAGTAAATGCTGTCAAAAATTCTTCATAAAGTATAGGATCTAATGGGTGAAATAATATAATCTTGATATCTGATAACTGAGAAGGCTGAAGTTTTCCAGTCTTTAACTACCTCATAAGTGAAAGTTCTATGATATTTAGTTTATTCAGAATCGTACTAAGCATTGATAAAAATCTCTTTTCAAATACCATCAAGGTCAGATAAATCACATGTTTTCCTCCTTTTTCTTAGTTCATTGAAGGGTTCACTAATTCTCATGGCTTTACTCTTAATGTAGAAATTTAAGTCTTTTAGCATATACATGGAACTTAATCTACAGGGGCTTGACCACTGGTTTTTTTAGTGCCAAAGAAGAGACAGAAAATCCTTCTAAAATGTTTATTGAGAAAGTCTCAATTACTAGCTGCAGATTACTGTGAAATTGTGAGTAGAAGGCCAGCAAAATGGGCAGTCACCTACAGGATGTGTTTTGAGGTTTGCTAAAGGTTCTGTCCATGGAAAAATGTTCTGCTGAAATATTTGGAATATTTACTAATAGAGCCATAATAACTTCATGGGAGCTAAGGACTCCCTCCCTGTCTTATCACATTGGCACAGAATAGGCATTAATAAACATTTGTTGAATGAATGGATGAATGAATGAAGACAAATTAAAAGAAGCCACCCAAATGGAATATTTTTCCATATGTGTCTGTCTGTTTCTGCATAATAGGCTAAAATAAAAAGATGAGTTTAGGGAAATAAAATACAAAAACAACAGTGAATATATACCTGCAAAAAACTGGCACCGGACACTTTTCTTTTATAGTGCTGGTTTACACTGATTATGTGTAGACTGCAGAGATACCATAAAAATAAGTAAAATGTAATACATTTCATTTATATGCTTTAAAACCAAATTGTTGGGCAGATTATTAGTTTTATGATATAAGTCTCTCAATACTCATATAAATTCATGGGGAAGTTAGAAGGTTAAATATGCTGAAAGTATAAAAATTTTCAGTAAAATATTATTTCCAAATGCTATATGGTAGCTGTTCTTTTTTACTTAAAGTGAAATGTATTTTAATAAGAGTGGAAATTCCATCATTGCTTTGTTTTATATGAATTTTTGAATTTTCGTTTTATTTTGCTTTGTTTACAGCCAAACCACTCTTTTATTATGACAACTTTTTTTTTTTGTAAAGGCAGAAATATCTGAAAGCTTGTGCTCAGCAACTTACTTTATATAAGCTATTAGAGAAGTGTGAAAAATGTTGATTTTCTTTTAATAACCTAGGTGTGGTCCTGGCTTTGTGTCTTAGGTGAAAAATAATCAATACTTTATGAATACTTTTTAAAATTCATGTTAATTTTTTAGTTCATGTTAAAGCTTTAGTGTACAAATTTGTCCAGGAAAACTTTTTCTGCATACCACTATTAACATGGTTTAGTTTCACTGAATGTTTGAAACAGTCACTGAAGTCTATTTAATAAGAGAATGTAACTAAAATTGCGAAAATTGCACATCTGTGGTTTCCTCAGGGGTACATGGTAATTTACTGGGCTCTTAAAATTGCCTGATTCTTTTTAGAATAAATAAATTATTCTTTTTTGTAATTTAAATTCAAGTTAGTTAACATCCAGTGTAGTGTTGGTTTGAGGAGTAGAGCCCAGTGACTCATCTCTTACATATGACACCAATTGCTCATCCCTAAGTGCCCTCCTTCATGCCCATTACCCACTTAACCTTCCCCCCCTCCCCCACCAACTCTCCTGTAGAAACTCTCAGTTTGTTCTGAGGGTTCATAAGAATCTCTTACGGTTTGCCTCCTTCTCTGTTTTTATCTTATTTTTCCTTCCTTTAAATTATTCTTTTTTAAAATTTATTTTTTTAATTATTCTTATTAAAGGAAAAAGGAAAGGAAATTAGAACATGGGAGTTAAGACAAAGTCATGATTTCTATTCATTAGACTTATGTATATTATTATGTATGATATATAATAATTGTATCTTATATATATAAATATATATATATATATACTTTATATTACTTAAAGCCTTGACTTTTTTTAAATATTTTTTTATTTTTTAACTTATTTCTGAGAGAGAGAGAATGAGAGACAGCATGAGCAGGGGAGGGTCAGAGAGAGAGGGAGACACAGAATCTGAAAAAGGCTCCAGACTCTGAGCTGGCTGTCAGCACAGAGCCTGAAGCGGGGCTCGAACCCACAAACTTCGAGATCATGACCTGAGCCGAAGTCGGACGCTCAACCGACTGAGCCACCCAAGTGCCCTGAAGCTTTGACTTTTAAAGTGGTACAATAGTTCCCCTTTGATAGTACCAAATCCTATATATATTATGTGTACATATACAGATGTACCTATTGTAAAATTCAATTTATAAATTAGGCATACTAAGAGACTAACAATAACTAATAATAAAACAACAATTATAACAATATACTGTAATAAAAGTTACATGTATGTGGTCTCTCTCTCAAAATATTTTATTGTACTATACTCACCTTCTTCCTGTGATGATGTGAAATGATAAAATGTCTATTGATGAGATGAAGTGAGGTGAATGATGTAGACATTATGACAGCATTAGGCTTCTATTTACCTTCTGACAGTATGTTAGAAGGAGGATCATCTGCTTCTGGATCCTGGTTGGCCATGGGTACTGAAACCACATAAAGTGAAAGTGCAGGTAAGGGGGCTATATTATAAGCACAGTAGTGAAGGCACTGAAGTTGTTCTAGTTGCTCTAATGAGATTAGAATTCTGGCTCTGCCAGTTTCTAACTGGGAAACCTCATCCAAGTGACTTAATCAATCTATGATTCAGTTTCCTCCTTGATTACATGGGGAATAATAACAATACCAACCTCAAAGTTTTTAAATTATGCTTATAACATGTATAACATACATCCTGGTGCTTAAGAAAATTGAGCTCTGACTATTAACCTCAGTTCCCTAGATATAAATAATAAAGCATGTATAGACTTGAGAATGTGGTGTTTGGTGACCTAACTCTGACCCCATGCTGAAGGATATATTACTAGAAGCATAAGACCTACCTCTTTAACACACACTCAATCCTATCATAGCATGGAACTCAGGAAGTGAGCTTTTTTGTTATTGTGTAAACACAATCACTCTGACCTTTCCTGGATTCAAAGATTTTTGTCATTATTGTTGTTAGCATCCTGCTCTAGACCTTGAATCTGCCTGTTTACTCTGCAATTTAAATGAATTTCGTAAGTAACAG